GGCATTTTTTGTCAACACCACAAGCAGCCCATTTTGTCTATTTCTTATCCTACTAAATACTAGGACCTTAATTAATGTACAAGAGCCAAGAGCTAAGGAATGGAAATGTCTAATACAATGGCCTGCTCAGCCTTACTCTGTCTAGTCCTTCTTTCGCAAGTTTGCTCAGGGCTTGCTAACTCTGCCTCAGCAATCAAGTTTCTTCCTGGATATGAAGGGCCTTTGCCATTTCATCTCGAAACTGGGTTAGTATTGGAAAGGTTTGGTTTTGATCAATCAAAATGTTAAAGAAAGTGTTTTGTTGTGTGCTTTATTGTGTTATTTTCAGGTATGTGGGTGTGGGTGAATCAGAGGAAGTGCAGCTCTTTTACTACTTTGTTAAGTCAGAGAAAAATCCTGAAGAAGACCCTCTCCTGCTTTGGTTAACTGGTGGCCCTGGCTGCACTGCCTTCTCAGCTTTTGCTTTTGAAATTGGTAAGGGACAAGTGCTAAGTTACCGAGAAACACTCTTAATTTGAGCTATTATCATCAGAAATGGAAAGGATGAAAGTAACCGCATTTTAATTTTAATAACATCTAAAAATAAAAAAAAATCGAGTGAGTATTTATCCCCTCAGAACATAGGAGCTTGAGTCTCCATGTTAAAAGTTTTGAGTTTAAACTTTAGATGGGTTAGGATGGATTTGGGAAATGAAAATGGGAAATTAGACTGTTAGATATGTTGTATAGCTTAGATGTATAAAAAGAGGAAAAAAAGTAATTGTTTGACCAATTGTAGGCCCACTGAATTTCAAGGTAGAGGAGTATAGTGGAAGCGTGCCTAACTTGACCTTGAATCCATATTCATGGACAAAGGTAATTTGCTTCATTTTTCTTTGGTAGTTTTACTTATGATTTGCTTGATTTAACTGATTGAAGTGCTATACTTTACGTTTTACGTTTATTTATTTTTCAGGTGGCCAGCATCATCTTTGTAGATTCACCTGTTGGTACCGGATTCTCCTACTCCAGAAAGCCTCTTGTCTCTCCCAGCGGTGACTTCAAGCAAGTTCACCTGCTCCACCAATTTCTAAGGAAGGTATTAAAGAAGTATACAGGGTCTGAAAAGATCTTTCGTGCCTTCTGATTTTTCTTATAAAATCTGTTTTGAGCTTCAGATTAATTTTTTAAGTTTGAATAAGAAACTTGTTGCTTAGTAGCTTAAAACTTTGTTTGGATTAAAGGAGTGAAAGGGAAAAGGCAAGGTGAGGGAGAGGTCTCTCCTTCATTTTGTTTGGATAAAATTCTTAAGGGAGAGGGAAGAAAGAAGGGGAAGATAGGTGAAGGGATTACGGAATTCCACCAAATTTTTAATTTTTTAGTTCTTTTAATTTGGAAGAATTTAAAAGGATTCGATTTACTTTTTTTTTTTTTTTTGAAAAGTATAATTAAAATTTATATTTTAACTTTAATTAATTTATAAATTTATAAAATTTTAAAATTAATTTCATAATTAAAATTTTCTAATTTATTTAATTAAATAAAAAATGTAATCTTTTCCTCCCTTCTCCTTTTTTTTTTAGTTTATTCAAACAAAACTAATACTAATTCTTTACTCTTCTTTCCTTTCCTTTTCTTTACTAACTTTTATCCAAACATATCCTAAGCTAGTTTTATGCATGCAGTGGATTATAGATCATCCTGAATTCATCTCAAGTCCAGTCTACATTGCCGGAGACTCATATTCCGGCATAATTGTTCCAGCACTCCTCCAAGAAATCTCTTATGGTAATTAAACTAGCTAATGAACATTAAATTTCTCCTGGAATTCGAAATTTTTAATGAATTATAATCATGCAGGAAATGAAGAACAGCGTATCAAGCCACCGATAAATGTCAAGGTTCTTGAATCTTTATCACATCTTTGCTTTGTTTTTATTTTGACAAGGAAAGAAAAATAATCTAAGTTTGGGTTTTTGATTCTGAATTGATTTCAGGGATACATACTAGGGAACCCCATATTGAATTCAAGTCTTGAACGCAGCTTTGAGATCCCATTTGCTCATGGCATGGGACTCATTTCTGATGAACTCTATGAGGCAATTTTTTCATCTCTTAAACCCCTTCAAAATTTCTCCAAAAATAGGGAAAAGAAAATAGAAAAAAACCATGCCATGTCATTTAAACTCATTTGTTGACATTCTTTTTCCAGTCTTTGACAAAAAGCTGTGGGGGAGGAGAGCAAGGAGATGTAGATCCCAGCAACATCGAGTGCTGGGAAAATCTTCAGTATTTCAACAAGGTATGTAGACATGGGAACAACTCAATCTTTGATGCGTAGTTGCTCATTTTGATCCATGCTTTACAACAACCTACATTTTCAGTGCATATCAGGAATTCAAATTGCACAAATTCTGGAACCCTTGTGCGGTTTTGCTCTCCGAAAACAGCCAGAGATGTCAGGCGAAAGACGCTACCTCCATGACCTGCTACTCGATCGAGAACCACCAATACCCCTTGATTGTCGCGTAATTACTCATCCTTTTAAAGTTTGAACTACTTCACATATAATACATATATATATATATATTGTTGGAATATGCTATTTAGTAAAAGATAATTCTTTTATTCCCTAAATTATAGTTTTTAAACTTAAAACTATTAATTTAAAGTTTTAAGTTCTTATTGGTTGAGACATACTTTTAAAAATATTAAAACTACATAATTTTTTCTTCTAAGATACTTTGACTTGACTATTTTTTTGTGGTTTATAGGCTTATGGATATCTGCTGGCTAGTTATTGGGCTAATGATGATAGTGTCCGCAATGCACTGCACGTAATAAAGGTATTTAAGGAGTTGGTTGTTTCAATAATACAAACATCCACAAATTAACAAAAAGATCATGTTGGGTTCATGAATATTTTCTTCTTGCTAATTAATTACTCATGTATGCGCAGGGAAGTATAGGAGAATGGCAGCCGTGCCAGTTTGGATTATTTTATGATTCTGACATTCCAGACAGTTTCCAGTATCATGTAAACCTCAGTACCAAAGGCTACCGTGCTTTAATTTACAGGTAATTAAGCTCGTTCTATTTCGTACCTATATACATGTTTAAGGTATGCCACACCATCTTCCTTTTTTTCGGTTTCCAAGTTTTTTGCTTATGGTTTTCTGATGAGGCAGTGGTGATCACGACATGGTCGTACCATTCCTGTCGACTCAAGCTTGGATAAGATCTCTGAACTATCCTATTGTTGACGATTGGCGACCATGGATTTTGCAAGGGCAAGTTGCAGGGTTAGTCTTGAATCCATATCTCCCATCTCAGATTTTCCTTTTTTCTTATAGTGGAGCTTGGGTTTTTAATATTTGCATTATGCCATGCAGATACACAAGGACGTACTCCAATAGGATGACATTTGCAACTGTTAAGGTAAGCAAATTTCTAATTTTACTTGTTAAAGCTGGTTAGAAGAAATTGAGTTTATCAGCTACTCTTGTTCCTTTTTTGGGGTTCACTTGCAGGGTGGAGGGCACACGGCTCCAGAGTACAGGCCAGCAGAATGCCAAGCTATGTTTGAAAGGTGGATATCTCAAGAACCCCTGTAAACTTGTAACGTTCTTCGGAATTAAAAGCAGTGTAAAAGTGAAATTTGAAAATTGGCTTAGTGCCTGAACTTGTTAGATTAGTTCCAGTTTAGTCTTTAAACTTAATTCAGTATCCAATATTGTAACAAAATGATGATGTGGCATTTTAAAGATATTTCCTTAAAAAATACCATTTATGAAGTAAGTAGGTATTAAAAAAGTTCATGTTTTTTTTTTTTTTTTTTGAACAATTTACAATTTGAGGAACAAGGATTTTTTTCAACGTGTTGATGGAGTTGAAATCCTAACCAACTAACCTAAACGTCTTAAGATTTATAAATGAGTTACTTGGACTCAAAAACTAGATTCAAAAAAATTTATGTCTTTTAATTCTCGAAATTATATAGACTAATAATAATTGTAATAAAAATTTAATACTAAAATATAAAATAAATGACATGACATAAATTATGTTATTTAAAATACTAAAAAATAAAATTTATATTATTTAATAATTAACTTTTTATATTTTCAAGACTTATCATATTATATACATTAATTAATTTAATAATATGATATAAATCACATCATTAGTCCCAAATTATCATCCTCCCTATCATTACTTTTATACATATGGTGTTTTAATATGTTCCTAGAGAAGGAAAAAAGAGTGTAGCATAAAATATAGGGTAAGCGACTCCAATTCCATCTAACCGTTGAACTTCTCTAAACTGTTCATCTGCTTGATAAATGTTTTTCTTAATATAAATAAAGAACAATAAATGGTAAGAACTGCTGTGTGTATAAAGAAAAAGAACAGCGTTGTTTTTTTTTTGGCTGCCTCTAGAAAATAAACTTGTCCTAAACAGGTAACCCTGTAAACGCCATTCCCCGCGACAAAACATGGCACTTTCTCTCCGCTAAGATAATACTACTAGAAATTAACTGCAAGAGGAGACAATTACGCGACGAAGTTGGCCCCAATTTGTATCTTCCTTGTTGCAAAGTTGACCATTGCAGTAGAGAAACCATGATCTCGCATGCTTCGTGCCTACATAGAGTATCTGTATGTACAACATTTGGGTAAAGCAAAGTAAAATTTTTTTCACTTGTCATGCAATTCCTTTTTAGGCAGTGTATCGGACCTCCAGAATCTGAAATCGAACCTTATGCCTACAACAAATGGAACAAACGTTTGTAATTATCTTAACACGTTATTTCAAGATGTCATGAGAAAGCGTTTGTAGATTTATAGCAAACAGCTGCAATCGCTGTTTCAGAGTTGATTTGTTCACAACAGATCGTTGTTTTTTTTTTTCTTTCAGATGCCAGACATGGAAATACTTTATATTTTGGGTTAAGAACCAGATTCAAACGGTAAGCATTACCATGAGAGTTTCTTGAGAAGAGCTTTAGCACTTCATCAATAATTATGACCTGCAGATTGAGAATAGGACGTAAGTACACTACTCGATATAGACATCTAGAACATGTAACGGTAAGCGAGAGCATATGGTGGAGGGGAATTAAATAGAATGAATTAATTGACAGCAATCTTAGGTTCTGAATGCATGAAGCAAGTAATCTTCATGGCATATACTTGAAACATGAACTTGTATCAGTTGGATACTATATATAAACAGTACTTACAGGGAAAGAAAGATACAGGACCATAGTCCACGCAGTCCAAGACAATGGCGTTACCTGTGAAACAAAATATGGAAAGCAAGAAATTAGTTTCCTCAGGGGAATAAGGAAAGTGAAAGAAGCAAGATCTTATAAATATCAAAATGGAAAGCAGCAGTAAAAAACTTACTGAAAAAAGAATGGACAGTGGACGGACATACAAAATTAGAATGTGAAGAAGTATCGTCAGGATGATAGAGGCAACAGCCACAAATTACTCCAGGGAGGATTAACCCTGAATTAAACATGGCCAAAACAAGTCATTAATTTATTTCTTTTAATTGGCTATATAGTTGGTATCAAGAAATAATCTTCCTGAATAGAACATAAAAAGAAAAGAGCAGCATAATTCCCATTACTTATTCTAGCGCACATCCATTCCAAAATTTCAAGTTGTTAAGAGCATAATAGCATTTGATCTTTACTTAAATACTAACAGAAGACAGTCCATACTTACAAGAGAGATTGATTTTCACTGAGGTTGTTCAGAGCATTAAACATTTCAACAACTACAAGAACAGTCATGGAGACGGTTGATGGATGTCGCTCGTCAAATATACTACATGGATAAGTTGTCTCCCTCAATGAGCAGGTACCAAAATTAAACAGAAAGGAACGAAGTTACGAATGTTTTGCCAAGACATAGGCTTTAAAAGTACACATCGTAATTGTTAAGAGGAGCCATATTTAAAAGCTTGAAGTGCAGAGTGGTTATTTATTTATTTATTTTTTTTATTATTATTTTTAACAGCATGAAAGAGCTTGGGCTTTACGAAACTAGCTCTTTAGGTTTAACTAGAGCTATTGTTTGAGAGCAAAAAAAGGGATGGACTAGGGCTATTGTTTGAGGACCAATACCAAAAAAAAGGGTTTGACTAGAGCACTGATGACTTGGAAGGCAATCGAAGTGGGTGGAATGCTTAAGAATAAACGGAAGCATGGTTGTTTCAGAAATCCCACAAAAAGGGGTCACAACCACAAAATTGGGAGATAAACTGAACATCCTTGACAATCCCCAACCAAGCCCATCTCATAAAGGAAAAAGAAAATAGTCTATCAGCTTACAGCAGAATTGCAGAGCTATGCAAAAGTAACAAGAATTTCTTTTTTTTTTTTTTTTGATGATTAGTGGAAATCTGAGTCATGCTTGTGCTATAATAACTTACCAATTCAGTATATGGTAGTTTGGGACCACTTTCAGAGTATACAAACCACCATATGAACCCTGCAACAGTGGCGAGGCCAACATAAGCTGCATCAACCAGAAAACATGTCTCACCAAATTGGAAGTTGCATGCTACCAAGAGAGAGTATCTTCAGTTCGAACCAAACTAGTGACTAGAGTAAAACTGCTGAACAAGGAATTCTCCGTATATCAAGATTCTTGGCACTAAAAGAAGGCTTTTCAATCATTATTTGTGACATTGCCTAAGATGAAACATTGAAAATAAAAATGAAAATGGTTATGTTCTATCTTGATTACTTGTAATTTTTTTCCATGCTAAATCTGCAAAGTATGAAGTCATAATTAGACAAACAAAAAACCACTATGAATTTCATTAATATATTGGTTCACATATGGAGTAATTTCTCAGTGAATTTATCCACTAGATCAGTGCTGACTGTTTATTCAACTAGAAAACCACAAAAGTAGAAACAGCAAAATATGAACTAATAAACAGAAGATCCTCAATTTAATAAAAAATTGCAGACAATTGGGCAGCTATTATTACAACATTATGGTGTACCATTTATGGATACCTCCAATAACTAAATAATGAAAGAACAACCAACCAGTCACCACTGCTTCTCCAACCTGCACACATGATACAATTGAGAACTCTTTTATCCACACAGCCTTTTGACCAATGTAGAATATAAATATAAAAACTGAAATAATGCACAATTGGGGACCTTGACCCCCCAGCCACTTTTGGTTTGAAATGAGCTCCTAAGAATTTATATCAACATAAATACTTCTGTTTAACGTCATTAGTCGTTGCACCACGAGTGAATCTTTCATCAGCCTCATTTTGCATCCTTGCTAACTCAATTTCAAGTTAATATTTAACAACTGTAACAACTTTTCATCTTTAGTTCAGCGTCACCAAAGCGTAGTAATAGGTCCATCGTTGCAGGTTTAGGAAATAAATTTGGACAATGGTTTTACATCCGAGAAGTTGAATACATAAGTAAAAAAAACATGCTTATTCTTTGTTAAATAGCCATTAAAATAAGAAAATTCCAAACTACATCACAATAGTTCTGAACTAAATTCTTAAAAGGTTTAAGGCCACCTTTTGCCCCCTTTTCATTCAAAAATAAATTGAGATCTAAAGACAGCTGGACAAAAGAGTGCACAAAGCTAATGAAGAACATTACAGCTATATAAAACATTTCCACATATTGCAATAATACCTTCTGAGGTTTGGCCTTTATTACGTCAGAATCTTGCTTATTAAACCCAATGGCGGTGGCAGGTATTCCATCAGTTACCAAGTGGAGCCATAGAGCTGGACCTGATGTAGTTAACAAGGTATAAATAAAAAAATTCAGAAAATCAGAGAAGTTCAAAAATTTAAATTCCCGATTATGGACTAAGCAGATGGTTAAGAAGATGGCATGCAAAGTTTAAAGTTTCTCTGCATTGACATGTTTTCTGCATCTAAATATGAAGAAGTACCCTTTTTTAATATATATTTATTTATTTCAATCAATGAAGTTATGTAAAATGTAATGAAACAAAAGTAGTCCTCCACTGCCTTTCCTACTCACAAAAAAGTCTGCAGCTAAATGGAACAAAAGTTCTTCAAGCAAACTGTACTTACAGGAGCAAGGGTATCAGGTATTCCTAGTACAGCTGCCACAAAAATACATACTACTTCACCAATATTTGAAGAGATCATGTATCTGATGAATTGCTTTGTATTGTTGTATATAGCCCTTCCTTCCGCAACAGCCTGCCCAAAATTGAGATAGGGACACAGCAAGACTTATAACAATTCAAAGAGAAATTAAGAATAAAATAAATCAAGAAAAGTGGAACTTCACTGATAACAGTTAGTAAGTGAAAACAAAATACATACTGCGACAATTGTAGCAAAATTGTCATCAGCTAAAACCATATCTGAAGCACTCTGTAAAACAAAGGATACATGATGGGTATAGATTAATTCAACAAAATGCAATGACAATCAATCAAGGACCATCACCTACGACATTTGAGTTGCAAGGAAATTTAAGAATGATAAGGTAACTATAGGTGAAAAAGGAAAAACAGAAAAAACACCATGCAAGGACAGCCTCTAGGCAATACACTGCAAGTGAAACTAAGAAGTTTAACTGTGGCACTAAAACTAATTTCTTGAGTTTCATTACGTTGTTTTTTGGTGACTTCACAACCACTATGTTTCATAATTGAGCACTGCAAAATTTCATCACATAATAGAAAACGAGAGTGAGAAGACACTTTACAAAGATAGACATGCAACAATTTGGTAAAAGGTCCACTAGTTAAAAATGGTATATGCTACATAGAGAGAGATGTGGAGTTGAAAGCACAACAATCCCAGGTTTAAACACTGACTATTTTCCCACTATGGTTCATGGAATGGTGAAAATGAACAGCTGACTGTTTTCCTACTGCAGGATAAGGAGAGAACCATTCAGTTCCACCTTTGCAACAGCTGTCCCAGATCCCATTGCAATTCCAATGTCCGCTTTCTTCAATGCAGGTGCATCATTGACACCATCACCAGTCATGGCAACCTAAAAAGGAAGCATTATTAAGTAACAGTAAAGTGCAGACATTATTATAAAAATGAATGATAAGCAAATCAAATCATGCCACAGCCCATGTATATAAGAAACATTATCTATAGAAACTCAGGTTAACACTACAGATCAGAGATCACCATAATCCAAATAAGAAAAGATGGCCATTTAAGCAGCAAAAACGCTGGTTCACCAGTCAGCAGCCTTTTTGTCAAAAAGGATTCTTATATATACGGATAAAGCAAGACAGTTTGAGAGATCCATTACCATCTCCTTTTGCACTACATCCTACAATTCTTTTTGATTCAGTGTTCTCAACTTAAATTGCTTCAATCAATACAACACTGAAGGCCTTTCTATAAGTAAAGCTCATAAAGAAAACAAACTTCTTTGAAGACTATTTGTAATTGACAAGTGATGGAGATGAATAGAAAACCATTCTGCAAGCTTCCACCCTCTCTAAGCTTCAAATTTCCCTTTGATAGAACCGGGCCTTGTGGCCTAATGGTTCGCCCCCAAGCCTTAGTGCTTGGGTGAGATGGTGGTCGGAGCTTCTAGCTCCACCAAACTACGGCCTGATGGTCGTGCGTCTTATTTGAGGGGTGGAATGTTTAGTCGGTCTAAGGACCAATTGCTAACAATTAACTCATTAACTTTATAATCATTACCCTTATAAAAAAAAAAAAAAAATTTCCCCTTGATATGCAAAATATTTAACAACCACACATTAGGAAACAACAACAAACAAACTGAATAGAGCTCTTTTTCATTCCTTCCAGTTTGGATGTGGGTTTGTGTTTTGTAAACATTGAAGTTTTTGCTCTGTTTTTGGTTTAGATCTCAAACTTCACCAATGTGGATTGTGATAATCATAGCTCAAACTAAGACCATTGATGAGAAATGTTTATGAAATTCCAAATATATCACCAAACAGGTAAAAGTTTAAGATTAGTACCACTTCATTCTGGTTTTGTAAGGCCTCAACCAGCATTCTTTTATGAGAAGGCTCAACCCTAGATGGAGAGAACATAAATATCAATAGCATCAATTTGTATAAAAATAATAGTAAAAAAGCAATGAAAAGATGAAAAAATCTATTAATAAATGCATTAATAGATGGTACATAAGGCAGGGTTATTGCCACACAATGTTTTGTTTGGGCCTTGCAATTTTTTATTTGCTTGTTAAAAACAGTTGAAAGTTGTAGTTGTTAGTTGGTAAAGCAGTTGATATTTTATTATTTAACAAATTAAAATTGAGAAATGCTATTGTGATATTTTGTTTCACTTTTTTTTACGACATAAGGTATTATTAAAATGATTAATTTTTTTAATTTATGTAAAATTTATAATATTAAATATATCTACTCATTTAATTATATGTAAAAATTGTATAAAAAATAAAACAAAAAAATTATCTTATAATACCACCCAAAATTAACTTATCCATACTTTTTTTCTTTTTTTGGCAAAGGCAAAAATTAGTAAGTTAGTTTTATTAATTGTTAACAACTGAAATTCAATCTCAAATCTAATAAATATCTCACTTCCCTCGATAAAACGCGCAACTCATTGGACCTCATTGGACCGATCGGTAGAGTTCAACTTATGTATACTTTTAAACGTTATAAATAACTATTTCTTTTAAAACAGTTATAAATCGATAAAATCAGTCAAATCAATGTATTATTTGTGTCGCCTTAACAAAAGACCGTTCGACAATAACCAAGTCCTTTGTGAACTACAAAATTCACATCCATCAAACCTGGTGAACAGTGCCATACGTTGCAACGCTAGTGTTTGTTGTAAAGCTGGAAGCTCTTCATACCATGCTGTATAACCTGGAAATACGGAAAAACAAATTCAACCATTTCGATACGAAGCTAGAATAACTTCAGTCTAAGTCAGTACACAATTACAGGACGAAAACAGCGACCCCGGTGAGAAAACAAACAAATGCCTATGCCTACCTGAGAATCAGTGAGACCTTTCGTCAGGTCTACCATGAAGAAATCCAAGACCTAATCAGAGAATCAGAAGCAGATTCTTAACGAATGGCGGCGGGTCTGAAGTTGGAGATTAGATATGCAGCGATGCATGTCAATTACCTCAGTAACGGATCTGGCGTAGGCATCCTCCATTAAAGAAGGTACAGTAATAAACAGCTTTCGGTGATTCAGTATGTTGGACTGTGTTGTCTACAAAACTACTGCTAGTGATCGGCCAAAAGCGTCGTCCACGGCGGAATGGCGGATTCCGGAGCGGAGGAGATGGCTTGTAATGGACTCGACTCTCAGAATAACAGTGACTCTACATTTTACGCGTCGGTAACTGTGCTCGGGTTGCCGTCAGTTGTACGCGGTGAATTTTTTTGTGACCGTCGAGGTTGGGCCCACGACCGTTACGGCCCATTATCAGCCTATGTTATTTTAATATTTTCCAGCTCAGCCGATGGTGTTTATAAAAAAGCGTTTTAAACGCGTGGTCCATTAGGAGGCCCACCACACAATTGGTTGGGCTTCATTTGCAACGGAAATGGGCCAGCCAATACGAATGTCGGTGTATAAACTGTAGTAGAAACTGTTTCACTTCGCGTGTCCTGCTTCCTCCCTCTCCGCCGGTGTACGGTCGTAGTTCTGTTTTTGTTTCATTTGGCTACTGTTTGCAACGAGGGTTTTGTGGCAAATCAGTTCTTTTAACAACCAAGTCGCGACATTCTTCTCCTCAGTGAAAGCACTCGCTCAAGCTACTTTCCCGTTCATTTTTCATGCTTTGCTTCTCATTCTGTTGAATGTACGGTAAATATGATCTTATCAGGCCTCAAACATTCATTTTATGTTATCAAGTCACATGGGGTACTGTTTTTTATTTTTATTTTCTCTTGTTGTAAGTAATAAAAAAGATGACAAGAAAGAGGGATTGATCGTAAAGGCTTGTCCTTTTCGCAGGATCCAAGTCCTTTTCCAAGATATGGTTGCAAATTCTCAGGGTGGGAACCTTCATCATAAAAGATTTTGGAGAAACCCACCAAAACAAATTCAATAATTGCAGCACTATCATGTATGGATCATATTGTTTGGTTGGTAGTTATCAAAAAAGGGGGGTGGTGTTTTTGGGCCCTTTGGTGGAACAATAAAGATTACATTTTGCTTCCTCCCCATCTGAAACTTTGTCTGTTTTGTGTTTTGGAACAGCACGGGTTACCACATTTACCTACCCTGCCTTGCTCTAAGCTAGGCTGGCAATCACGGAGGAGGAAAACAATATGTGGATCACTTACTTGCTCGGTTGCTCCACATCTGGCTGTGATTGGTATGAGTTAAGATACCCCCTCTACTCCCTTCAGTTTGTGTGGTTCAGTAGGTGCACTTGGGTACCATGTTGATTAATGACATTGCAGGTAAACAGACCCGCTCTTCATGAGGATGAGGGAACCACAACCATGTTCTGAGGTAAGCATTTTAGTTTTACTACTTTTAAAGATGGGCTGCAACTGTGTTACTTATCTTCTTCTCTCAATTGTTTGTGGATTCTGCATTAGTAAAACTAGTGTATGGGGAAGCATCCATCTTTCTTAACGTCTGTGCATGGCATGAAGTAGAGGAGGAACTACAGTAAGTGATAAAAATGTAGAACATAGTATAAATATACCGAAGACATGAGATTTTACTTATTTTTAATGTCTTGGGTTGTTTCCTACTGCATTGACAGGAACACTTAACAAGGAGTAGATTTGGATAAGGACAAAAACCAAAAAGAAAAGAGCAATATCTTTCCGAGATCGATTGCCTTTTTTTTTTTGTTTTCTAATTTCTCCTTTTTATAGATCCGAGGCTGCCTTTTATCTAGTAGAGACAAAAGGTATTATGCTTACCCCTTTGTCATTCCCATTTTCTTCCTTGATGAACTTGAAAACCACCTGTGAATAACTTAATTAATACAATAGATATTAGGCACATTTAAGCACCCCATATTCACTGTCAACATTCTGGACAAATGGACATAAATGAGAAGTAAACATAGAGACTAACCTGCTTCTCTTGAAACTGGTTTGCCAGCAAAAGAGGTCTGCAGGAAACCAAGTTTCTTCCGAAATCCTGATTTCCCCTGTAACATGCAGTGGTGGTATCATTAAGTTATCCCTTAGAAGAATTTATGTTGAAAAGAGATATTGGAAACAAAAATCTGAGAAGGGTAGATAATTAAGTACCATAGTATTGGTAGCGGAGCAGTCCGGTGAATAATCGAAAACGTCCATTGAAGTTTCCTTTTTGAGATTCTTCTGTGAGGAGACCAATGACACACCATTAGCATAATTTGTTAGAAACGAATCACTGCTAAACTTATAACAACATATTACAGCAATCTGTTTAGGAACTTGCCTTGGAAAAGCTTAGCACAGTGGAGCTAGCAGTGTCGTCGAGATAAGAATGCTGTTGGTTTTCTCTTATCTTCTTCTTGCTTTTGCTTTTCTTGGCGAATTCAGAAGCTGAGGGAGCAGGAAAATAATACCCATTTTCTTCATTGCAGTTTTCAGCGTCTTCACAGTAATGTCTTGGTCTAGAGGATGCATCAGACACCATTGACAAATCCTCCTCACCTTCTTCCACATACTCTACTCCTGCTCCTTTCCCCCCACAATCTTCATCAGCAACCCCACTAAAACTCCACCATTTACTCTTTGAGAAAGAGGAGCTCAAAGAGGATTGATCTAAATACAGAGTCCAACCGGACTCACACCCACTACCACATTGTGAATCTGATATATCCATCTTTCACTTCTTTTCTAACCTAAATAGAAACAATCCTTTGGTTCTAACAAACTGAACTCCTACTATTCCAAAAAAAAACTAGAGAAAATGGGATTCCAATTCGCTCCTCTTCCTCACCAGGATTCACACGTATGGAGACACTTAAATTTAAGGGGAAGAAAAAGGAGGGTAAGAGGAGAAAGAACCATAGGAATCACACTCAAATCTAGACTACTTTTGTCCTTTGCTCTATCCCGTAGCCCTCTTTGTTTTTATCTGAATGTGAAAGTGAATAAATCAAAACTGCCAGTTGGCTTTGAGTGTATTTTGTTTGTATGGGTGTGGGTGAAACACACACACACACACAGCAATTAGCTACAGTGATAATAAGGGAAACGGTTATTTCTTGTTGATGCACAATTGTAGTAATGTACAGCTTGTATTGTACCCGCGTGCCAATGGTGCTCTGTCGTTTCAGTGGAAAAGTGATAGTAATCTACTAGATCTTTATAATAATTATATAGCCGCGTTATTATTCTTGATTAGAGGCTGTTTATGGATATAGAAATTTGATTTATTCTATGTTTTTTTTTCTTTTTCTAACTTTTGTTGTCGGTGTCAATGTTCATCTTTTTGCTTTTCAAATATCATCTAGTAGTGCCTATTTAAGTTAACAGAACTTGTCATAATAAATTAATCATTAGTGAGGCAAATAATTAACATGGTTGTTCTTTTGCTGAGTTGTTGGATACTTACTGTTCTATATATGGGACATCTTCCTCAAATATATCTCCCTTGTTCTAGGGGCCAGGCTCTAATGTCTTCATAGTGGAAATCCTGGAAGTTCAGGGAGTGATTGGTAGATAGGAAGTGTTTGGAAAGTTGGTTTGGAAGGTGATTTAATTTTCTGCGTTTGGTTTAAATTTTGGTAGGTAGGAAAATAGTTAGTGAAAAGAAGCTTTTATTTCAATTTTGATTTTGATAGAAAATAAAAAATTATAGATATTTCTTACATACTGAAACTTTATCATTAGAATTCTTGTTTAATGAGTTTTTTGTAATAATGTTAACAAATATTATTTCTTTGAAATTTACTCTCAAAATTTCAAATTTTAATAAATTAAATACAAAGTAAATCTTTTTATAGACAATAAAAATAAAAAAAAAATTACGTTTTATAGTCTGACGTATACCAAACTATATCATCATAGCCCTTGGATGAGGGGGATTAGGATTTGAAAAGAATTAAAGTGAAGATGGCCAAACAAAATGGGAAGGAATTAATTGGTGGGTCCCTGAATGACCCATACGATAACTCTGGTTAGAACACAGAAGTCTCCGGATTATCCTCAATGGGAATGTTTGAAAATGTTGAATCAGTCCATCTTGAGATGGAAATTTCAAATTCAAACAACAATGACATGTTGACGTTTCTTTCATCCTGGAGAGACTAACTTGAAAAGATGGTTGTAAAACAGTCGCAAGTTTTATGCTTGCAATGCAGTTAGTGTTTGATGAGTGCACACTACACTACTAAGAAAAAGTCTGAATTTTTGCTGTTCCATCCATTCAACGTCACATGCTAGCTGTTTTAATCACTCACCAATAAAACGTCGACAGAATTTTGACTCTTCTACAGAGTGAAGACTTACCGTGTTTTTGACGACTTTTTAAAATATCTTTTCTATTACAGAAGTAGAAGTTGGACGAAACACAACTTGGAAGCCCTCACTGAAAAATAGTAGTGGCTTTTGCAAATATTTTAAGTGTTTCTAAGCAAGTTACTGTGCTTAACTTGACTTTCGCTTCTGGACCAAAAGACACTCTTTTAGAAACTTAACCAAATGGGTACTTGACATAAATCGTATTCATAAGTTTTTCAAATGGGCACTTAATACGTCTTTTACATTCAAAAGCTTAACGAAAGGATATCGTATAGTAATTAAAATTTAAGAGTTTAAGCTTTTATATTATAGATTTTAAGTTTAAATCTTAAATTAGTGAAAAATTATGTAAAAAGAAAATATTTATTTTTTATTATATAATTTATTATTTAATAATAATAATAATAAAATATAAGCATGACGTATGTACAAGTATATATATTAATTAGCACTCTGCTTCGTGACAACCAAGCTTCTCCAATTTAAGGTAAATACGCCCATGTACATTCATGATATAGCTGTTTTGGGGCCCCACTAAATAATGGTGAAGAATCATGCCTTTGGCCTCCATTGATTCCGAATCTGAGAGTAATATATGACAGACTAATGCACGTACGCCCCGTTGTGTGTTGTTATATATTATCCCAATCAAATTTTAGCACAATAATTCCTTGTGTAGTTCTTTATCCTCTATAAACCAATTTTTTTTTTTTTTTAATGTTGGTTATACAATAAGAGATATATTTTTTTATTTTATTTTAACATATCATGCGACTTAAATTTATGATTTTTTGTATTTTTAACAAAAAAAGATTATCATTAAATTTTTTAAGTCGTTGGTCTCTACAAAGGAGTCTTTCAATGGCCAGAAAAAATAAAAAAATTCGGTCGTGTAATCTCTTTTTACCTAAGTTAGCATTGTGGCGATGTTTTGCATTCATTTTATTACTAAACAATCTTACGGAACTCTATGCATTGAACGTGAGCAGCTACGTTCACCGAGTTATTAATTCTTTTCGATGGTTTTGATTTTTTTGATAATGACATTCTGACACAAAATTATGAATGTTTACGTGATAATAAATAAATAAATATAATATAATATTAAATATATCCTCTTTTTTTTTAACAATAAGGAATAAGGAAAAAAGAAAATTTTTTTTAAGTAATTATGAAAGTTGAACTCTCAATCAACTTAATTTAAGTATTTAAATTTTAGGAGAATTTAGTAAACTCACAAAGTCTAATCCTATTAAATGTTTTACTTAAATTAAAAAGACTAATAAAAATTACATTATGTCATATGGTAAGATTTTATTAAAAAATTAATTGTGACAACACAAAGATTTTAATATTTAATTTTAATTTTAAATTAAAAATTTTAAATAAATAGTTATAAATTTAGGAG